AGGGCCGGCCAGGTAGAGGCCAGGGCACGGGTCACTCAGGTAGACCTGGCGGGCGCTGCGCAGCACCAACGACACCAAGAGGTTCTTGTGTAGCTTGATGCCGCCGCGCTGGACCCGCGAGTTGTAGATCTTGCCGAGGGAGATGCTGACGATGCGGTGAGCCTCCAGCTTGAACTCCATCCTGCCTCCGCTTCTCGAGAGTGGCGCCTAGACGATGGGGTGAACGCCGAAGCTGCGAGAGGAGAGGGAGGCGGAAACAGGATCGCCTCTGGGGTGCACCCTCGGCGGCTGAAAGCTCGGTGGAGAAAAGACCCGGTGACGCGTAGCCCCCTCCGCCTCTTCGCCGCAGACAACAAACCTGATCTGCGTTAGTCGCTAAACTGAGCGGAACGAGCCCCACACAGCGCCTTATATAGACTCCTCGAACGCCAATCACAAAGCGCCGCCAACCGTTCTGGGCGGGCCGATTTGCCTCGTGCGCCGTCCCCAGCCAATCGGAGGCGGAGGAGGGGCGCCAGGGCCGGTTCAAACGTTAGTCCCGCGGAGCAAGCTCTTAAAGAGGGCGATCGCAGGCGGCCCAGGGACCAAGTGCGGTGGGATTTGGGTCCGAGGTAACGGTGAAGGTGAGTGAGGCCCACAGAACTGTCTGTCGTCACAAATTCCGATTTGTGAGCTGTCTTAGCCAACCTCACTAGAAGCGGACTATTGGAACTTTCGTTGGTTTGGAGTGCTGGAATCTACTACATAGTAAAGTTCGGCTCCTTTCGTGCGCAGTTTCCAGCTGCTCACACCATTTCTTGGCAGGAATAGAAGCTATGGCAATACAAAGCAGGGACAATCCTGAACGACAAACAGTACGAGGTATTTGAGATATTATTTTGGAGTCAGATCCTTTCCCATTAGCGTCACACTTTCAGCATCTGACCACAAGCAAAAGGGGAGGTTCTAGAAATTCCCAAGCTTCTGGCCTATCAAGGAACAGTGTTCAAGTACAAAGTCATTGTTTCTCACCTAAAGCTGGCATCTTTCACTTAGTTCCCTAAATTCTCGGTTGTCACACAGATTAAATGGAATAAATAGGAGGTGTTACCTACTTCTCCGAAGTGTTTGCTTGTTTGGTTGTTTTTATTTGTTGTTTGTTTATTAACACAGTAACTGAACTAATCCACACTTGAGGAAATCTAGTAAGTTCTAAAAATACAAATAGAGAAGTTCTGGGTTCCCATAATAATGTTGTAAATTTGTTTTATGTCAAGCTAATAGTATGGGGAAAGGGTTCCATCCACTGAGTCTTAAAAGTACCTAGCAAAGGGGCCACAAGATTGTATTAGTGCCTTCTGACTTTGTAAATTACCTCATAGTCTTTTAGTTTCAATTCTAAAAAGGAGAAATCATGTATACACCCACTTTATTATACAAAAGATGCATGACAACTCTTAGACACCATAAAATTAAGTGCCACTTTCATGGAGCCTGTGTGCAAAGTTGACCTAATCCCACAGTAGGGTTTCTCCAAACAATGTGTTTATGTAGAAAAAAATACTAGTGAGAGTAAGGCTTGACCACAGGAGAGCAGCTTAGTGAGGTTCTGATAAGAGCCTGCTGCATTACAAATGACCTGTTCGGGGGAACACAGAGAATGTACCAGGTAATAGTGCATCTCATGGGTACATTTACTGATGCCACATAATAAGTGGTACTTAAGACAACTGCACAGAGATGTCCCATGCTCCTGTCTAACACAGTTTGCTTAAATTTATTGCCAACTGACAATCCATCTTGAGTGGACTCAGTGACTTGGCTAGTGACCATGGACAGGTGCAGGACCTGGGTCTTTCAAAGCTTGCTTTCTTTCTTTCTTTCTTTCTTTCTTTCTTTCTTTTCTTTCTTCCTTTCTTATGAGTGCTCTGTCTTCTCCTATGTCTGCAGGACAGAAGAGGGCACCAGATCCCATTCTAGATGATTCTGAGTCACCATGTGGTTGGTGGGAATTGAACTCAGGACCCTAGAAGAGCAACCAGTGCTCTTAATGACTGAACCATCTCTCCAGCCCCAAAGCTTTATTTATTTTAATCAGAATTTCTTTTAAATATTTATTTATTTTTGGTTTTTCGAAACAGGATTTCTCTGTGTAGTTCTGGCTGTCCTGGAACTAGCTGGCTTTCCCCATGCTGGGACTAAAGGTGTGCAATACCACACCCACCGAACATCATTCTGATTTTATTTTTAAAAAGTCAAAGGACATCAATCCCGTTCCTACCAAATTTTCTGGTAAACCTGAAAATAGGGTTTCATGGGGACTGAGATATTCCTAACAGGGCTTTGAAGCATCTGGGAAGGGCCACATCCTCAGGCCTCACCAGACTCTGACTGTCAACTCGACAGTTTGAGAACTTTTAAATCACTGTGAAACAATGCTTACAGGCACAGGCTACCAGGGTAAGAAACCCAGCTCCACTTCTTACTTGCTAAGTACACTGTGGAAAGTTATTTCCCTCTCTTTGATTCAGTCTTTTTTATTTGATTACAGAGATAGTAATAGAGCCTACCTCTTAGAGCTCTGTGAGAACAAAACATTTACTACGCATATAAAAAAAAAAACCTCTTAGCACAGCACTGGACATATGTACACTTTCAATACACCTTAGTTATTAGGACATGCTACCCTACACTTGAATTTGGAGCAACAGAAGGGACTGGAGAGGGAAGGAACATAGATGAAAGTTTTAGTAGGGAAAGCGTATTTGAAGAGGTACTGAAAGCCCTTAGGTAGAATCCACAGACTCTAAACCGCAAAACAAGGATGGAGTACAGGGAGCATCTCATTTATCAGGTTGCCAAGGTGATGATAGTAAGTCATGGATGCTTCCACGAGGAGATGGGGCCTCAGGGACTCACTAAAGATTTCCCCATAATAAGAGAGCCACAGGATGGATTCTAGAACCATCAGTATGCAGGTGATTGTTCAACTATAGTATTTAATTATAAAACTTCTGTGAATGTTTCGGCAAAGGATTATTGAGAAGGCCTGGATTAGACAGAACTAGAAAGAGTGAAGAAAAAGAATAAATAAAGAGACAGGGCAACAGCTTGTTGCTTAAGCACAGAGATCAGAGTTTGAATCCTAGCACCCTTATAGAAAGCCAAGCTCAGTGGCGCATGCCTCCCTGGGCTGGGGAGCAGAAACAGGCTTCCAGGGACTCACTGGATAGCCAGTCTAGCTGAAATGGCAAGCTCCGGGTTCAGTGAGAGACCCTATCTCAAAAAATAAGATGGGACTCCAGCATGAATAGGAGAGAAGCTCATGAGGCCCTACCCCAAGCTGAGGAACTTTTGGCAAGTGATGGCTGCTAAAGAAGGGAGATATGACCCCTGGTAGGTTGCCCGTGCTGCAGTGGGTAGCTCTACACCCGTGGGCAGCAATGTGGGCAGCACTCAGTGAACTCAGTAGGGTGAAGAAGAGAAGAGGGATGTGATGATAAGATTGGGAGAAGGGTGTGGGGTTCCAGGAGGAGTTGGAATGGGGTAGAGGACACTAAATGCAATCTAAATACTTTGTATTTGTGTATGGAATTACCAAAGAAAAGAAAAAGAGATAAATTAGGTGGAGTGAGATTGAGGAAGATACTGAACTCTGGCCTTCATATAAGCATGCAAAGGTGAGCACACACACACACACACACACACACACACACACAAGAGAGAAAAAATTCCAGTGATGAAGTGATGATCCCGGATGCTGCCAGCTATCCATAGGGTGTTAATGGGGCCTGAGGTCAGGCTATCCGACCCATCTGAGCTGAACTATCCCACCATTCACCACGGTATACTTTATACTCCTTCATTTTCTTTATAGTTCCTTATCATTTTCTCCTTTTTTGCCCAGTACCCCTCCCAGCTTGTGCCCTCATCAAAGACAGGGATAGTGAAAATATGGAATGACTGATGGGACACAGACTCTAACCAGCAAAATAGGTGATGAAGCCCTTTCAATGTCAGGTTACAGAAGGTTCCTGTAGGACAGGCAGGATGGCAGGAAGGGCAAAGAGCTAGTAAAAATGTCCTGTCAGCTGGCAGGGGCTATTACAATATTGTGACAGTTAGGGTGGCCATGGTGGTACATCCAGAGGGGTATATCTCTAATAATCATAAGGCCCACCAAACACCGCAATGGTCCCTTACAGGAATTATCAATGAGTAAACTGAGACTCTGAGAAGTGAAGTCAACTTCTCAAAGTTATAGAGCAGTGTAAGTTGGCATGGTAGGATTCATACTTGACTGTGTGAGGCTCTGGGCTTTAATGCCTGAATCTCCCTCTTATTTTCTATGTGAACTTCAAAAAGTTACTTCACCTCTAATGAAAAGAGAAAACAGCATCCTAGCTTTGTGCCTCAGTCTACCATGTAAAATGGGACTAATAAAGATACTTGCATTGCTTAGTTCAGGCTGTGGCACATATAAGCACTTATGAAGCCTTACCTGTTGCTATGGTTGTCCTTTTTATTTCATCAGGGCCTAGCACATCACGGGGGCTTGCTTAGCAAATTTCAGCTAACTTGCAATTGTGCTTTCGCAATTATTGCCAGGATTTCCTCTAACCCTGAGCCAACAGAATGGACTCTTCAGAATCCATCTCTCAAGGGACCAAGCACTTGTGACAAGGAAGCTTCTACAACCAAAAATGTGGGGACACAGTGACTATGAAATGTGGCTAGTGTGACCCAAGATACTAAGCATTCAATTTTTTTGACTTAAATCAATTTTAAAATAAAAACAGGATGTCCCTGCCCCTCGAGAATCCATTTACTGTGTCATATTTTTGAATCTTGAAGTGATAAGTGTGACAAATATAAAATACACAGGAGGTTATAACGAACTTACTCTCAAAAAGAAAATGTAAAACGCCTCATTAATTCTGTGATGGCAGAGCACAGTAGTGCATACCTGTGATCCCAGCACACGGAGGTAAGTTGAGGAAAGAGGATCAATGAAAGCTGAAAGCTACCCACGACTACATAGAGAGACCCTGTCCCAAACAAACAAAGTCCTCCCCTCCCAAATCACAATGGAAATCATACTAAAATATTTTTATGTATGGAAACAACAAAATTTTTTGCTATGTTGAGTTAAATAAAATAATTTAAACCAATTAATATATTATATTATATATCATATCATTTATAGTTGTATTATATATGTATATGTTAATCATTGCATTTCTATATAACTATATTATAATTGTCATGTATACGGTTCCAGTTCTATTTCTATTAGACAGAACTGACCTAGGAACAATAAGGAGGTAGGGAAGCATAGCCATATAAATATGCCTGAACATATTGTGGGTAATTAACAAATGTCTTTAACTGGAGAAGAGAGAAAGAACAAGGAAGATAAAGTAGAAAGAAAGTGAAACATAAAACAGTTGCAGCGGTAAAGATAAGATCAAGGGAAAATATGCTTCCCATATTTGCAGCAATATAGAAATAGTTAATTGGGTGAAGACAGTCAGAAAAAGTCACAATGCTGGAAAAGCACAAGCCTGCTTACCTGGACACAGTAACACAGAAACCTCCCAAACCATTTTCATTCAAAATACAAATGTGCCAACAAGGTGTTGTTGGACACACCTGTAAGAGGAACGTTCTGTTCTGAAGGTAGAGGCAGGAGCATTAAGACTTTGAAGTCTGATGGCTGGAGAGATGGCTCAGTGGTTAAGGACACTGACTGCACTTCCTGAGACCTGGATTCAATTCCCAACACCTATGTGGCAGCTCTCGACTGTCTGTAGTACCAGTTCCAGGGATTCTGACAGATGCACATGCAGACAAAACACCAATGCACATAAAAATAAAATTATTAAAGAAAGGACTTTTTTTTTTTTTTTTTTGGTTTTTTGAGACAGGGTTTCTCTGTGTAGCTTTGGAGACCAGGCTGACCTCGAACTCACAGAGATCCACCTGCCTCTGCCTCCCGAGTGCTGGGATTAAAGGCATGCGCCACCAATTAAAGAAAGGACTTTAAGTTCATCCTTGGTTACATAGGGAATTCAATTTGGGGCCAGCCTGAGCCACAGGAGAATTTGTTTTAAAAGCAAACAACAAAACAAAACAATATGCAAATGAATTTTCGAGGATGCACACCCTCCTGGGTTGTGGGAGTGGACATTTTCTTTAGTCTTGATAGCTACTTGAAAGGTATAGGTCCATTTACTTTTAATGTGCCATATTCTTTAATGTGCCACCATAAATGGCTTCCCATGACTGCTGTGTGTGTGTGTGGTGGCGGGGGGGGGGGGGGTCTAGTTTTCTGGCCTGTTCTCCAGAATCCTACACAATACAATGTCAAAGACAAACTGCTGGGACTGTGGATAGAGCTAGAGCCCACTGACTACCCTGACTACCACTGACTACAGACTAAGTTTGGGCACAGGGAGGAGGGAGGTGTCCCTATTCTTGTGCAAGTGGCTAGTAACCTTCAAAACATAACTGCAACATTAGCATCCCCTGCAGAGGCCTTCAATATCCGGTCACCAAAACCCTACCAGATCCCTTAAATCAGAGGCTCTGTGGTGACAGAGTTGTGTGTCACTAGTTTCCAGAGCTCCCGAGGTGATCAAACAGTCTAGAAAGTGAGAAGAGTAGCCACGATGATTGTTCTTGGATGAGATCTAACAGTTTAGGTTCTTCAAATCTACTCCTCTGAGAACACAAATACTCCATCTGTGTCCCAGCTAAATAGCCCCACTTAAATGTATAACTTTTAACAGAAAGATTGATATGACTTCAAGGTCAGCCTGGGTTACTTGGACTGTAGTGTGAGACCCTGTTTCAAAAAAGATTATCTCAACAAAACAAAACAAGTGCATCTTGGTATGCAGAAATGGCTCAATGGGTAAAGCACGTGTTGCACAAGCAAAGGACCTGAGTTCGAATCCCAAGCACATCCATAAAATCTGTATATGGCAGTAAGCTTTTGTAACCCTAGAGCTGGGGACAGAGACAAGTGGATCCTGAGGACTTGCTGGCTGGACTGTCCAGCTGAAACAGTAAGTGCCGCATCTGGTACCTGTACCCAATCCAGACCCTGTCTCAAAATATAAAGCAGACAGCAGAAGTCAAGCTCTGGCTTCCAGCTGTGCGCACACGCATACATGCATAGCTCTAATGAAAGTATATCTTTTAGAGCTGGGCATGTAGTTCAGTGATAGAGTGCATACTTAGCACACCCAAATCCCTGGTATGATCACTAACACCCAAAATAAAAGTGTACGTCTCATTCCTTATCCCCTCAACAAAATAACCTCTCAGCTTCTACCCTACTTCTACACATCATTTCTATCAGGAGCCTTCAGTACCCACTGCTGTTTATAGTCTACTGGCTTGTCTCTCCCTCCCTCCCTTCCCCACCCTTTCTGTCTGTCTCTCTCTCTCCTAACAGTTATTCGTTACTTAAAACCACCATCTTGTAATAACACTTATATATCCGCTTTGCAGTTTATTTAACTAGCATATTATACATTCAACTGTTTTATGGACACATTTATTTCCCCTGAACTGTATAAAGTGCTAGAAGATGCTATCATGTACTTGTCTGCGCCCCACTTCCCTGTTTACAGATGGGTGATTTTATTACTGAAAAAGTCACAGAGTGCCTGCTGGTTCTCTTCAACATGGATTGCGGGTCAGTGACATGCTGAAAGCACAACTGAATAACAGCATCGTATTGTTCAGCCAGTAAGAAAGTCTGCCCCACCACTCCTACTCTAACTGCTGTAACCAATAGGACCTTTCTGATTCACCACTCAGATCTTTTTTAGATCAACACAGCTGATCTCAACCGGAACATGAATGTTCACACAAAAAAACCCAAGTCTCCAAGCATCTCGTGCTCATTTTGACTAAGCAAATTCTGAGTAAGTACTTATTTATACAGACATTCCCCTGGTACAAAAGGAAGTTTCAGACCTGCTGTCTAACCCAGAACAGGTGTGTGGATTAGCATATAAGGCACACTGAGCTCTTCTGAGGGCAAATGATTGTCACTGGCGAAGCTCTCATCACCTTCCCTTTACCACTATCATCTTATAAAAGTCCTCACTTCCAACTTCTCAACTCATGGAAGGGAGAGAGGGGTTCCTTCCATTGTTCCCTTAAAGTAACAATTCTAAGTTTCCAAGTAGGAGCCAAGTGTCATGGCACACCGGGGTAAGGAGGAATTGGAAGCAAAACTGTACTTCATAGAGAGACCCTATTGATATATAGACAGAGGGAGAGAGATGGGGGGGGAAGAGTTAACACGAGAACTGGTCAGGGGAGAAAAGATCGAATCAGTAATGATACGTAGTGCCTCTCTTTTAAGAAAAATAAGATCGTATTCCAGTCCTGCCCCCTTCACTAGCTGACCTAATACTTAGAGAGTTTCAGAGTCCCAAAGGGCTTCTGAGGTCAGAGTCCTCCTCCGTGGCTTTTGTTCAGTCTCTGTCACTTTCTGTTTGTTTTTGAGTCGTTTCCTGCCCTGATGGAGTAAATGTGTGTTGTATGAGTGTTCTGATGAGTGGGTCGGGTGGGATCACTGTCAAACATGTCAGAGGGGAGGTGGTGGGGCCTGGGTGTGCTTAGTCAATTTGGCCACAGTATGAACAAATGCAGTTTTTCAGAAAGCCCCGATAGCTTTTTTTTTCCATTACCAGGATTATTTGTTTGCTGGGCTTTCCTTTGCTCTGTAGCGGGTTTTTTTGTTTGTTTGGTTTTGGTTTTTTTTTTTTTTTGTCTTATAAGTGACTTTTGAAGATTTATTTTTTAATATGTATATATGCGGGAGTAGGCGTGTCTGTGACATATGAGAGCAGGCTCCTGCAGAATCCAGAAGAGGATGTCAGATCTAGTGGAGCTGGAGTTAGAGGCAGTTATGAGCCACCTGCCATTGGTACTGGGAACCAAACTCAGGTCTGCTTCAAGGGCAGTGCCATCTCCTAACTGCTGAGCCATCTCTCCAGCACCATGTGTGATTTTAAAAATATTCTGGTTGGTTCCTGGACCAATATTATGTTTGTTGATGTGTTTCTATTAATAAGTGGGCTTTTAAAAAGTGTGTATTATGTATTATGTATGTATTATGTATGTATGTATGTGCATGAAGAACCAAAAGAGCACCTCTCTCTTTCCCTCCTGTGGACAGGAGAGGAGGGTGGAATGAAGGAAAGGCTGTGGCTTCACTCTTTTCTTCATGGGATCTAACTAGAGTGGAAGGATTTGACAAACAATTAACAACCCTCCCTCCTCAGCTGCTGTTTCCCAAAATAGCATCTCCTTTGCTGCCGGGGTAGATGGGCGCCTTCGGGGAGGAAGACACAAAGGTGCCCTCTTTATGAAGCCTGAGTGTCTCGAGATCTTGAAGGCAGAGGGGAAACCCAGGGGATTAAATTAGCAGGCAGCTCAGGCTCCACCTGGACGGGAACTAGATAATAGGCTTTAAAGACAGGAAACAGCTTGTGCTCCAAAATAATAATTTTCAAAAGCAACACATGATGGATGCTGGGTTTTCTACACTTCCACCTCCCACCCCCAGCCACACCCTTAGTTCATCACATCCGAGGGCAATTGGCCTTTGAGATTTGGCTGCGTGGATGAGCCAGGTCCTCTGGTATTCTTGCAATTCTGCTCCACCTCTCCCCCATATTTGGAAAGATTGTCACAGCCAGTCCTTTTGGAAACCCGATTCCTAGTTACAGAAATTGCTCAGCGCCAGGCTTTGGAGAGAGGGGATTAGGGCTGCAGCCTCTGCCTAGCTTTTGCTCTTCATTCTCTTTCCTTCCCTGCTCTCCATGCCTGCCATTTGTCCTTCTTGTTCTTCATTTTCCCTGAAAGACTGCTCTTCACACTCCCACACATCCGTGTGTTCTGCCAGCCCAGGCTCTCTGGGGTCCTGAAACATCGCCTGTCATGAGCAGGGATGCGGATGGAAAGGGAAAACACACGCTGAGCTAAACAAAGGGAACAACCAGCAGCTCACCTTTGAGGAGGACAGGAGCCCAGGAGCCGGAAGATAAAGGAGGAAGGTGGAAAAAGGCAAGGACCGAACTATTACCTCAGTGGATTCAAAGATTAAACATGTTACGCTGGATTCTGGGCTTTGCTGTTTTAAAACTTCCTTCCAAGTATCCCCAAGAGAAATTAAAGCAGTGAAGCCTGTTCTGTGAATTAACTTGACACTAGCTTCAGCTCCTGGAAACACAGGATTTGAGCCCCGTGTTTTGCACACATTTTTATGCTACAGTGTCATATTATTTCTAAGTCTGATCACAGAGCTGGGTTCTTTTTAGACCAGGACTTCCCTGAGGCCAGAAGGAGGGCCTTGTCTTGGGTGTGTGTGTTTAGTGCTCAGCACACTGGTCCACAGGAGGTACTCAAGTGCTGAAAGGTCACTTGAAGGTGGGTGGATGGACAGACAGATGGATGGACAGACAGACGGATGGATGGATGAATAGATGGTAGAGAAGGATTGGGATATTTATAAAGCATTGCATTTTCTCCCAACTGTCTAGAAGAGGGAATATATTATAAAATTGGAAATTTTTCTTTTGACAGGCAAAGAAGTGAAATGATATGATTACCCTTGACGTTCCAGGAAGACTTGCTCCTCCTATGTCCTCTTCCACACCTAGTGTTTCAGATGGCTTGCACAGAATCACAATCAGCATATGAGGGTTCAATTAATGATTCAGGAGTCAAAAAAAGAATAGCTGTTCTCCTTGCATCTCCAGGAGAGAGGGGAGGAGCAGTAAACAGAGGCATAAATATAAAGCATTCTATAACATCTTCCCTTGTGTTGCTGTTTTGACTTCGTTGCTTTGAGACAGAGTCTCACCATGTAGCCCTGGCTGGCTTAATCTCAGTATGCAGGGCAGGCTGGCCTTGAACTCACAAAGATCCCTCTTCTCTCAGCCTCCCCAGTACTGGAATTAAAAGCATGCATCACTACACACAACTGATCTATTTTTGTTATTGTTGTTGTTTTGGTTTTTTGAGACAGGGTTTCTCTGTGTAGCCCTGACTGGCCTGGAATTCAGTTTGTAGACCAGGCTGGCCTTGAATCCACAGAGGTCCGACTGCCTCTTCCTCCTGGGTGCTGGAATTAAAGGTGTCTGCCATCACCCAGCCTGATCTGGTTTTTGAAACATCTTGATAGATGGAAAATCTGACAAAGAAGAGAGACACCTCAGAGACCTTGGAAGGCTCTCAGTGTAAGGAGAGAGGACAGAAGTATTTGTGTGGTGTGAAATTTCTGAAGGCCTTCCTTTGCAGGCCTCTGGGGCTGACTGAACCGTGAGGGGAGGCATTCAGATCCAGACAGGCTTATAGCCTCTTCACTTTGGCAAGGACTCGCTTTGCTTGACTGACAGATGTTAATTAGGGGAGAAGATCAGCTCCAGAACAGTAGGCAAAACAGAACAACTTACAACCCTGGGGACACAGCCTCTGCTCTAACCCCAGTCAATACTGGGAGGAGACTTACACCCACATCTGGTTATGTGGATAGTCTAACCATAGGGTGGCTCAACCTGGGATTTGTCACACAGCAGTCTTTAAGGCCATTCCTTCATTCCACTTCCCTGGCTCCTCAGCCCTTGCAAAAAGAACAACAAAAAGCGCTGGAGAGCTGAGATTTACATAGGCCAGCAGCTTCACCAGATTCTGAACACAGAAAATGCCTGGGCGGTATTAGGAAGGGCAGTTAATTGGTTGGCTCCTGAACGTGTTAATCCTGAGCAAAGCTGTGTTAGTACCTCATTAGCACATTAATTCTACTGACTATTCTCTAGCAGTCCTGTATCGGTGAAAATCCAGAGCATTTCTGGAGGTTGTTTTACGGAAGTCAGGTTGTATTGACAAGAACTGCAAACACAGATCCTTGTCTCAAAAGCGGGTATTTAGGAAGATTGAGATTAAGGAGAGATAAGCTTGTAAACATGTGTGTGAAATACTGAGTTTGGACCTTCTCTGAAAAAAACCAAAAAAACAGAAAAAGACTTGCTTCGGGCAAGAGCGTCATCAGGGATCCTTGTCTCTCAGGTCAGAGAGTCTTGAGAGGAGAGGTGAGCAGTCAGCATTCCAATCCAGCTTCCAGCTCTGTTACCAGTGAAGCATGCTGCTATCTCCACATGCCTGGTACCATGCTCCAGGAGGAGAAGGTGGAGGCTTGGTGTTTAGATACTGCCTTCGGGCTGCAGAAATGGCTCCATTGGTAAGGTGCTCACTGTGCAAGCTTGAGGATCTGAGTTTGGATGTCCAGAATTGACATAAATGCCTGGCTTGTTTACAGGTACCTGTAACCGAAGCACTGAGGGGGCAGAGACAGGCAGATCGGTGTGTGTGTGTGTGTGTGTGTGTGTGTGTGTGTGTGTGTGTGTGTGTGTTGCTGACCAGCTAGCTAGTCAGCTAACTCAGCAATCTCCAGGTTCAGAGAGAACCTCTCTCAGAAAATTAGATGGAGAGCAATAGAGGAAGACACCTGAAAGTCTGTCTCTAGCTTAGTATGCATAGGCACAGGTAAGCATGCCCACTCAGGACGTACATCACACATGAACACTGCACCACTTTGCTCCCAAGCTATCTGCCATTCTTTCACACCAGAGCTCATGACCTCATGGGTTTTCTAATGGGACCTTTTGTCATGTTTTTGATTTTTGAAACAGGGTTTGCTGTGTAGCCCTGGCTGACCTGGAACTCACTCTGAAGACCAGGTTGGCCTCAAACTCACAGAGATCTGCCTCCCTTTGCTTCCCAAATTCTGGGATCAAAGGCATGCACCACCACCGTCTTATTTCTTAATGTATTTTCTGTGCATTTTTTTCTTCAGTGTGCTATATTTTGAGTATGAAATATCCCCCAGGGCATCAGAAAATAGGGGTTTAATCCTGCCAACTGATGTGCCCGAGTGACTGAAGGCTGATGACTGTGAACTAATCAATAGGCAACCACTGGTGTCATCTGGGAGGTGGTTAAAGAAAAGGAGTTGGACCTATTTGGGCATCTTCTAGAATGATGGATCTTGTTAACTTTTTACTCTCCCTACTTCCCACCTGCCATGAAATGAGCGGGCTCTGCTACATGTTTCTTCTGCCATGACCTCTTTCTCACCTCAGGCCCAAAGCAATGGATCCAACCAAATACAGAGTGAAGTCCCTGAAACCATGAGACTTTCCTCCTTTTAAATTATGCTAAGTAGTTGACACACCTTTAATCCCAGCACTCAGGAGGCAGAGGCAGGCGGATCTCTGTGAGTTCCAGGCCACCCTGGTCTATAGATCAAGTTCCAGGACAGCCAGAGCTACACAAGAAACTCTGTCTGGAAAACCCAAAAATAGATAGATAAATAAATAAATAAATAAATAAATAAATAAATTATGCCAAATGTTTTATTACACACACATAAATAAATTGACTAAGGGTGTGATCAAAAGGGGCAAAGTTAGGGGCTGGAGAGATGGCTCAGAGGTAAGAGGGCTGACTGCCCTTCCAGAGGTCCTGAATTCAATTCCCAGCAACTACTGGGTGGCTCACAACTATCCGTTATGAGATCTGGTGCCCTCATCTGGTGTGCAGATATACATGGAATCAGAATAAATAAACAATTTAAAAAAGGGGGCAAAGTTACACAAGTAGTTTCTTTTCTCATTGCTACACCCAAACAAACACCTGCAAAAAACACCTTATCCAGGAGAGGTTTGTTTTGCTTCAGTTGAGGTCTTGTCTGGCTGTCATGTGGTGGGGTAGCCTGGAGACCACCAGAGGGTGAGGCTGCTTGCTCATACATGGGCAGATCAAGAAGGAGAGAAAACAGAATGCCTGAGCTCCGTTTACTTCCTTCTTGTTTTACTCCATCCGGGACAGCAGCCAATGGATGACATGCCACTGTCCAGGGCTGGTTTTCCCCTTTCAGTTAATCCTCTTAGGAAACAGGCTCTCTAATGCCCTAGGTGTTTGTTAAATCAAACATGTTGGCAATGAAAATTAGCCTTCACAGCTCCTCTTCCTAGGGTACAGACAGGCCATGCAACAAGGAGAGAACTGTGGCAGAGGTTTATGGTGTGAGAGAAGCTTAATATCGTTCCCCTCTATTGAAGACAGGAAAACCACACAGAAAAATGGGAGACTTGGGGAGAGGCCTAGTCATGATCCAATCCTTAAAGAAGTGACCTCTGCCATTAAAACACACTTAAAATGTTACGTTTCTCTGTGTGGTTCACTAAGGGATATTAAACACCAGTGCCAGACACTGTCACTCTATATAAACTCAGAAATATTTCATAAGTCTGGGCCTGGTGGCACACACCTTTAATGTCAGCACTCAGGAGGTAGAGGCAAGTGGATATGAGTTCAAGGCCAGCCTGATCTACACAGAGAGTTCATCCAGTGACACCTGACTAAGAAAATAAACAAGAGTAACAAAACACAAGCTAGGGGTGTGTGTGGAGAGATGGCTCAGTGGTAAGAGCACAGGCTGCTCTTCCAGAGGACTTGGGTTCAATTCCCAGCATCCACATGGCATTTCCTGGGAATCTGACACTATCACACCAGTGCACATAAAGTTAAAATTTTAAAAAATAAAAAAACAAGCACACAAAAATACTTGACAAATAATTTAAAAAAAAATAGAACATATAACTTTTTTCTCTCTACTCATAACTGTACTTTGACCATTTCAGAATGCTACAAAATGACATCAAAAGCCAAGGAAGCAGTGTCCATTCTTGGTATCTCCTGCAAGAGAAATGAGTGCAGATTGGGCAGTTAGGAGTTTTCTGGAAACAGCCAAGAACAAGTCCTTCAGCAGAACACTTAGGTGGTGAAAGAATTCTGTCTGCAGCACCTCATAGAGCTATGGGGGCATGAGGTAGAGAAGGCAGCTAGAGCAGCTTGCTGTTAAAATTGTGACGTGAAGATGATGGAAGGTCTTGACTAGAGAGAATTCTAGAAACTCTTGAGGCTTTCTGAAAGCTGAAAAGGATGTATCAGAGGGTGAGCCTCCATGCATAAGAAAGCTCAAAGGTAAGGATAAAGAACAGCCCACATCACCGGTCATTGGTGGCACACGCCTTTAATCCCAGCATTCAGGAGGAGAGGCAGGTGGATCTCTGTGAGTTCGAGGCCAGCCTGGTCTCCAGAGCAAGTGCCAGGATAGGCTCCAAAGCTACACAGAGAAACCCTGTCTTGAAAAAACAAAAACAAAACAAAAGAACAGCCCACATCAACTCCCTGTTGTATTTAGTCTTTTCAATAACTCGAAGGACCCGGGGTTAGAGGAAAATGTTAGTGCTTACAGAAATACTATTATACAATGGGACTAACCTTAAGGATACAAAACTGAATGAGATAAGCCTGGCATAAAGAGAGGTTGTACTTACATGGAGAAATACCTAGAGTAGTCAACCTCACAGAGACATGATGAACAGTGGTTGTTGGGAGGGGCCAGGGAAGGAGGGGGATGGGGAATTGGCATTTAGTGGACACTGTTTTATTTACCAAGGTTAAAAAAAGTCCTGGATGTTGGCTCCACAACAGTGTGAGTGTACTTTATATTGAAGAACTATGTACCTCCAAATGGTTTAGATGGTGAATTTTGTTATGTATTCCATGATTAAGAGCAAAACAAAAACCTTAATATGGAGCTTAGTTGGTAACATACCTGTCATGCAAGCGCAAAGGCCTAGGTCTGGACTCCCAACATCCATGTAAAAGCCGAGTGCAGGCCCTTTCACTCCGAGTTGGGAGAGCTCATCTGACAGCCAGCATAGCTGAATGAGTGGGCTTCAGAC